CTCACACTCTCCCCTCACACTCTCCCCTCACACTCTGTGAACTCTCCCCTCACACTCTCACTGTCTGTGAACTCTCCCTCACACTCTCACACACTCTCCCCTCACACTCTCCCCTCACACTCTCCCCTCACACTCTCCCCTCACACTCTGTGAACTCTCCCCTCACACTCTGTGAACTCTCCCCTCACACTCTCTCTCTCACACACTCCCCTCACACTCTCTCCTCACACTCTCCCCTACGTCTCTCACTGTCTGTGAACTCTCCCTCACACTCTCACACACTCTCCCCTCACACTCTCTCTCTCACACACTCCCCTCACACTCTCTCCTCACACTCTCCCCTCACACTCTCACTGTCTGTGAACTCTCCCTCACACTCTCACACACTCTCCCCTCACACTCTCCCCTCACACTCTCCCCTCACACTCTGTGAACTCTCCCCTCACACTCTGTGAACTCTCCCCTCACACTCTGTGAACTCTCCCCTCACACTCTCTCTCTCACACACTCCCCTCACACTCTCACTGTCTGTGAACTCTCCCTCAGACTCTCACACACTCTCCCCTCACACTCCCTCACACTCTCTCCCCTCACACACTCTCTCTCACACTCTCCCCTCGCACTCTCTCTGTGAACTCTCCCTCCCCTCTCTCCCTCGACTCCGCTATTAACTCTCCCTTCTCTCTCCCCTCCCTCCCTCTAACACGCTGTGAACTCTCCCTTATCTCTCCCCTCTCTCTGCCTCAACTCCGCTGTGAACTCTCCCTTAACTCTCTCTCTCTGTGAACTCTTCCTCCCCTCTCTCCCTCGACTCCGCTATTAACTCTCCCTTATCTCTCCCCTCTCTCTGCCTCAACTCCGCTGTGAACTCTCCCTTATCTCTCCCTTAACTCTCCTCTCTCTGCCTCAACTCCACTGTGAACTCTCCCTTATCTCTCCCTCGACTCCGCTATTAACTCTCCCCTCACTCTCCCTCTAACACGCTGTGAACTCTCCCTTAACTCTCCCCTCCCTCCCTCTAACACGCTGTGAACTCTCCCTTATCTCTCCCTTAACTCTCCCCTCTCTCTCAAGGAAGGAAGTCTCTCCCCCCCCCCCCCTCTGACCCCGCCCCTCCCCCACATCCTCGACCTTTGACCCCGCCCCTCCCGGCTTCCCCTCCCCCCCCACCGCTTCTCTCCCTACTTCCGGCACCGCCCGAAGCCATTTCCGGTCGGCCATCTTACTATCCCAGACCACGTGGTCGTCACCCGGAGCCCCGCCCTCCCAGAAGACCACGTGGTCGCCCACCCCCCTCTAGCCCCGCCCTCCTAGAAGACCACGTGGTCGCCCACCCCCCTAAGAGCCCCTCCCTCCCTCCCAACCCACGTGGTCGCCCACCCCCCTAAGAGCCCCTCCCTCCCCACCCAACCCACGTGGTCGCCCACCCCCCTAAGAGCTCCTCCCTCCCCTCCCAACCCACGTGGTCGCCCACCCCCCTAAGAGCCCCTCCCTCCCACCCAACCCACGTGGTCACCCCCCCCCACCCCCCTAAGAGCCCCTCCCTCCCCACCCAGACCACGTGGTCGCCCTCCCCCTCTAGCCCCTCCCTCCCCACCCAACCCACGTGGTCACCCCCCCCACCCCCCTAAGAGCCCCTCCCTCCCCTCCCAACCCACGTGGTCACCGCCCCCACCCCCCTAAGAGCCCCTCCCTCCCCTCCCTACCCACGTGGTCACCCCCCCACCCCCCTAAGAGCCCCTCCCTCCCCACCCAGACCACGTGGTCGCCCTCCCCCTCTAGCCCCTCCCTCCCCACCCAACCCACGTGGTCACCCCCCCACCCCCCTAAGAGCCCCTCCCTCCCTCCCCACCCAGACCACGTGGTCGCCCTCCCCCTCTAGCCCCTCCCTCCCCACCCAACCCACGTGGTCACCCCCCCCACCCCCCTAAGAGCCCCTCCCTCCCTCCCCACCCAGACCACGTGGTCGCCCTCCCCCTCTAGCCCCTCCCTACCCACGTGGTCACCCCCCCACCCCCCTAAGAGCCCCTCCCTCCCTCCCCACCCAGACCACGTGGTCGCCCTCCCCCTCTAGCCCCTCCCTCCCCACCCAACCCACGTGGTCACCCCCCCACCCCCCTAAGAGCCCCTCCCTCCCTCCCCACCCAGACCACGTGGTCGCCCTCCCCCTCTAGCCCCTCCCTCCCCACCCAACCCACGTGGTCACCCCCCCACCCCCCTAAGAGCCCCTCCCTCCCTCCCCACCCAGACCACGTGGTCGCCCTCCCCCTCTAGCCCCTCCCTCCCCACCCAACCCACGTGGTCACCCCCCCACCCCCCTAAGAGCCCCTCCCTCCCCTCCCAACCCACGTGGTCACCCCCCCCACCCCCCTAAGAGCCCCTCCCTCCCCTCCCTACCCACGTGGTCACCCCCCCCACCCCCCTAAGAGCCCCTCCCTCCCCACCCAACCCACGTGGTCACCCCCCCCCTCTAGCCCCTCCCTCCCCACCCAACCCACGTGGTCACCCCCCCCACCCCCCTAAGAGCTCCTCCCTCCCTCCCCACCCAGACCACGTGGTCGCCCCCCCCCACCCCCCTAAAAGCCCCTCCCTCTCTCCCCACCCAGACCACGTGGTCGCCCACCCCCCCCAACCCCCCCACTGTGGTTGTGACGTCACTTCCCCACTCCCGTGATGCACCGCGACTTTTTCAAATTTCACGACCGTTGAGAGGGAGAGATCACGTGACAACCGATCCGAGCGCGCTGATTGGACACCCGCGGCACGTGCACCACGATGGATTTATAAATGTCGGGATTTTTAAAATTGTAGAGATTTTATAAATGTATCGATTTTTATTGTATCGATTTTTAAATGTATCCATTTTTTAATGCGTCTATTTCTAAATGTATCGATTTTTTTTCGATTTAAAGCTTTCGTGACTGCAGGGATTCATCTTCTTGGTTCTTTCAGCACATGCTAGTATTTAATTTAATTTATTATTTTATCTTTATACGTGACTTTACCAAAAGAACCAAAGAATAGTAGTGTAGTGTGAAGCAGTATAGTATCGTGTGTAGTGTATTGTATAGTGGTGTAGTGTATAGTGTATTGTATAGGTGTATAGTGTAGTGGTGTAGTGTATAATATAGTGTGTAGTAGTGTAGTGTATAGTGTGTGTACCCCGTATTCTTGTACAGGGAAATTTAGTCTGCAGGTCCATACGGTGTACAGCCGTTTCGATAAGAGCATCAACAGCAATTGTCTGTTTCTCTCCCGTGATGGGATTTTGTCTGAAAATCGTTGAGATTTCTAATGGATAGGGGGTGATCAGTAAGGTCTGAATTGGTCTGTAATAAGGTAGGGCACTGATAAGGGGTTGCCAGGCATGGTGGTTGTACAAAGGTGTCAGTATTTGTACCAGTTGAAAGGGTAAAAACCTATTACTATATTTTGACACTGGTAAAGGAGATGTCTCAGTGTAAATGCTTAACCCCGAGCTCTCAATACTCTGATAGTGCGCTGTCTTTGAGTTGTACGCCTTTTGGCGTCATCTGGTCCAACACCAATGGAGACTAGGCTCTAAGAAAAGCTGTCTCGGGTGTGGACCAATCAACTTCAAGGACAGTGCATATCATTATCATCATCAGAGTTGTTTCTTTTTGTTTGCGTTTTGACTGCTTGCGTTGTGGTTATTGCAAACATGATGCCTTGTACAAAGGTATCAGTTTTTGTACCAGTTCAAAGGGTAAAAACCTACCACTATATTTTGCCACTGGTAAAGGAGGTCTCATAGTGTAAATGCTTCACCCCGAGCTCTCAATACTCTGATAGTGCGCTGTCTTTGAGTTGTGCGCCTTCTGGCGTCATCTGGTCCAACACCAATGGAGACTAGGCTCTAAGAAAAGCTGTCTCGGGTGTGGACCAATCAACTTCAAGGACAGTGCATATCATTATCATCATCAGAGTTGTTTCTTTTTGTTTGCATTTTGACTGCTTGTGTTGTGGTTATTGCAAACACGATGCCTTGTATAAAGGTGTTAGTTTTTGTACCAGTTGAAAGGGTAAAAACCTATCACTAGGCATGGTGGTGTTGTGTAATCTTGATTTGAAGCTTTCGTGACTGCAAGGAATCCACAAACTCTTTGGTTCTTCGTTAAAGTCACGTGGGTAGAAAATAAATCACGACGTTTCGGGCGCAACACTGAAGGTGAGAAAGCATTGGTCTGCTATTCTTAGGTTTTTTTCGGTAAAGTCACGTAGGTAAAACATTAAAATCACGACGTTTTGGAGGCAACACAAGCTACCGTCTTCAGGTGGAACCGTCACAGCACGATAGCTGTATCAAGTGAGAGTTGGTCTGCTGTTGAGGCAGACTGTTCTAAAAGGTTTGAAATGTGTGTAGCCCCAAGGTTCATAAAGAAGTGGCCGGGGCTAGTGATGTTAATGTTGCAGTACCACAGTTGATACTGGTAGGAACCTCCTGGTTACACCAGCCCACAGGGGATTATTGTGTCCGTCCGTTCGTTGTGCAGGGAGGGGCTGGGTGGGGAGGGGATGGGTGAGGAGGGTGGGGCTGGGTTGGGGGTGGGGAGGGTGGGGCTGGGTGGGGGGTGGGAGGGCTGGGTGGGGCTGGGTGGGAGGGGCTGGGTGGGGGGTGGGAGGCGTGGGGCTGGGTGGGGAGGGGCTGGGTGGGGGGGTGGGAGGCGTGGGGCTGGGTGGGGGGGTGGGAGGCGTGGGGCTGGGTGGGGGGGTGGGAGGGGTGGGGCTGGGTGGGGGGTGGGAGGCATGGGGCTGGGTGGGGAGGGGCTGGGTGGGGAGGGGCTGGTCACCCCGTGGTGCCCTTATAAAACTCAACGTTTCACCTACTCACGCCGGCTTGTGCCCGCCCTCACAGTCGGGCATATTTGCGGAATACACCACGCCGCCGTTGACCCTGCAGGCCATTGACCGAGCAACCCCCAACGTCACTACCAGCTCCCTCCGCAGGACAATGTGTTACAGAAGCACTCTGACGAAGATCGTGGTGGAGGTCGTTTATTACACACGGTTTTAAATGACGGCGGCTATGATCATGATGATGGAGATGATGATGTAGTTGATGATGATGATGTAGGTGATGGTGTTGATGGCACAGTCAGGGGGTACACAGCTGGTGGTGCATCTACCGGTCATCTCAGTCGGTCGACCAATGGCACCTGCTGGGTCTGTCCCGTGACCTCCTCATGCACCTAGCCTGGCACAGCAGCAGGAAACCCATGGTACCTGCTGGGTCTGTCCCGTGACCTCCTCATGCACCTAGCCTGGCACAGCAGCAGGAAACCCATGGTACCTGCTAGGTCTGTCCCGTGAGCTCCTCCTGCACCTAGCCTGGCACAGCAGTCAACCCGTGGCACCTGCTGGGTCTGTCCCGTGACCTCCTCATGCACCTAGCCTGGCACAGCAGTCAACCCGTGGCACCTCCTGGGTCTGTCCCGTGACCTCCTCCTGCCAAAAGCAGAGAGCCTTCGACACTTCACGTGGCAGCCTCAAGGTGCACCTAGCCTGGCACAAGGGGTGCCGTGGTGACGTCACCGTCACTTAGTGGAGAATGGTGGCGGTTGTGGCGGTGGTGGTGTTGGTCGTGGTTGTGATGTTGTTGTTGGTGGTGGTGTTGTTGGTCGTAGTGGCGGTGGTGGTGGTGTTGATGGTCGTAGTGGCGGTGGTGGTGGTGTTGATGGTCGTGGTGGTGGTGTTGTTGGTCGTAGTGGCGGTGGTGGTGGTGTTGATGGTCGTGGTGTTGGTGTTGTTGATGGTCGTAGTGTTGTTGGTGGTGTTGCTGGTGGTGTTGTTGGTGGTGTTGTTGTTGGTCGTGATGGTGGCTGTAGTGGTGGTGGCGATGGTGGTGATGGTCGTGGTGTTGTTGGTGGTGTTGCTGGTGGTGTTGTTGGTGGTGTTGTTGTTGGTCGTGATGGTGGCTGTAGTGGTGGTGGCGATGGTGGTGTTGTTGTTGGTCGTGATGGTGGCTGTAGTGGTGGTGGCGATGGTGGTGATGGTCGTGGTGTTGTTGGTGGTGTTGTTGGTGGTGTTGCTGGTGGTGTTGTTGTTAATCGTGATGGTGGCTGTAGTGGTGGTGTTGCTGGTGTTGTTGTTGTTAATCGTGATGGTGGCTGTAGTGGTGGTGGCGATGGTGGTGATGGTCGTGGTGTTGTTGGTGGTGTTGTTGGTGGTGTTGTTGGTGGTGTTGTTGGTGTTGTTGTTGTTGGTCGTGATGGTGGCTGTAGTGGTGGTGTTGCTGGTGTTGTTGTTGTTAATCGTGATGGTGGCTGTAGTGGTGGTGGCGATGGTGGTGATGGTCGTGGTGTTGTTGTTGGTGGTGTTGTTGGTGGTGTTGCTGTTGATGTTGCTGGTGTTGTTGTTGTTGGTCGTGATGGTGGCTGTAGTCGTGGTGGTGGCGACGGGGATGCCACGAGTTCGATGACGACGCTGATGAGGTGGACGCCGGCGGAGGTGGTGGACGACGAGGTAAAGGTGGCGGACGAGGCGGGCGACGAGGAGGAGACGGACGAGGAGGTGGACAAGGAGGTGGACGCCGGCCTCAGTGCGACTTCTTTGTGGAGGTGAAGCTGCCAAAGCCCATGACAGCGGCCATGTTGGCAGCACCCCCCCCACCCGCCCCTCCCCCCTCCCCCTCCTCCTCCTCAAGACCGGCGGCGCAGAGATCCGGGTCCGGCTCGACGGTTCGCTTTCGGCGCTTCTCACGCCGGAACACCTTCTGCCTCTCCTCCTGCGGTGGTGGCGGTGGTGGCGGTGGTGGCGGTGGTGGCGGTGGTGGCGGTGGTGGTGGCGGTGGTGGTGGCGGTGGTGGTGGCGGTGGTGGTGGCGGTGGTGGCGATGGTGGTGATGGTGGCGGTGGTGGTGGTGATGGTGGTGATGGTGGCGGTGGTGGCGGTAATACAGGAGGGGGAGGCGTGGGGGGGGAGGCACAAAGAGGATTGAAAATACATTCACTCAGACACTCATCCACCTAGCCGCCCACTCACCCACCCACTCACCCACCCACTCACCCACCCAACCACTAACCCACTCAGCCACCTACTCACCCACCTACTCACCCACCCAGCCACCCATCCACCCACTCACCCCACCTACTCACCCACCCACCTACTCCCCCACCCGCTCGCCCATCCACTCACCCGCCCATCCGCCACCCACTCACCCACCTACTCACCCACCCACCTACTCACCCACACGCTCGCTCGCCCATCCACTTGCCCGCCCACCCAACCGCTCGCCCACCCACTCAACCGCCCGCTCGTCCACCCGCTCGCCCACCCACCCACCTCCTCCTTGAGCTCCTTGAGCCTCTCCTCGAAGTGGAACTCTTTCTGCTTCTCCTCCAGCCGCCGCTTGTTGAGCTCGAAGCGCGAACGCACCTGGTCCAGCGACGAGCGCTCCACTCGCATGGACATGCCCAGGTTTCTCTGGTCTAGAGCGGGGAGACAGGGGAGACAGGGGAGACGCGGGGAGACACGGGGAGACAGGGGAGACGCGGGGAGACGCGGGGAGACGCGGGGAGACGCGGGGAGACGCGGTGAGACGCGGTGAGACGCGGTGAGACGCGGTGAGACGCGGGGAGACGCGGGGAGACGCGGTGAGACGCGGTGAGACGCGGTGAGACGCGGTGAGACGCGGTGAGACGCGGTGAGACGCGGGAGACGCGGGAGACGCGGAGAGACGCGGTGAGACGCGGTGAGACGCGGTGAGACGCGGTGAGACGCGGGGAGACGCGGGAGACGCGGGAGACGCGGAGAGACGCGGAGAGACGCGGGAGACGCGGTGAGACGCGGTGAGACGCGGGAGACGCGGGAGACGCGGGAGACGCGGGAGACGCGGTGAGACGCGGTGAGACGCGGGAGACGCGGGAGACGCGGGAGACGCGGGAGACGCGGGAGACGCGGTGAGACGCGGGAGACGCGGGAGACGCGGTGAGACGCGGTGAGACGCGGGAGACGCGGGAGACGCGGGGAGACGCGGGAGACGCGGGAGACGCGGAGAGACGCGGTGAGACGCGGGAGACGCGGGAGACGCGGGGAGACGCGGGGAGACGCGGGAGACGCGGGAGACGCGGGAGACGCGGGGAGACGCGGGGAGACGCGGTGAGACGCGGTGAGACGCGGTGAGACGCGGGGAGACGCGGGAGACGCGGGGAGACGCGGTGAGACGCGGTGAGACGCGGTGAGACGCGGTGAGACGCGGTGAGACGCGGGAGACGCGGGAGACGCGGGAGACGCGGAGAGACGCGGAGAGACGCGGTGAGACGCGGTGAGACGCGGTGAGACGCGGTGAGACGCGGGGAGACGCGGGAGACGCGGGAGACGCGGAGAGACGCGGAGAGACGCGGGAGACGCGGGAGACGCGGTGAGACGCGGTGAGACGCGGGAGACGCGGGAGACGCGGGAGACGCGGGAGACGCGGTGAGACGCGGGAGACGCGGGAGACGCGGGAGACGCGGGAGACGCGGGAGACGCGGTGAGACGCGGGAGACGCGGGAGACGCGGTGAGACGCGGTGAGACGCGGGAGACGCGGGAGACGCGGGAGACGCGGGGAGACGCGGGAGACGCGGGAGACGCGGAGAGACGCGGTGAGACGCGGGAGACGCGGGAGACGCGGGAGACGCGGGAGACGCGGGAGACGCGGGAGACGCGGGAGACGCGGGAGACGCGGGGAGACGCGGGGAGACGCGGTGAGACGCGGTGAGACGCGGGGAGACGCGGGAGACGCGGGAGACGCGGGGAGACGCGGGGAGACGTGGTGAGACGGGGGGAGACACACCACAGGGACACACCATATGGACACACCACACCACACAGGGACACACCACACATGGCCACTCACGTTTTTTGCCGTTGATGTGGTCCAGGAAGTTGATGGAGTCCTTGACAACGCAGTCGCAGACGTTGCAGTAGTAGCTGGCAGCACGCGGGGACACACACGCACACACGTGTGGTGAGTGGGTGGTGAGTGGGTGGTGAGTGGGTGGTGAGTGGGTGGTGAGTGGGTGGTGAGTGGGTGGGTAGTGAGTGGGTGAGCGAGTGATGAGTGAGTGGGTGAGTTAATGGTTGGTGAGTGGGGGGTGGTGAGTGAATGGGCAGTGAGTGAGTTGGTGAAGAGTGAGTGGCTGAGCGAGTGGGTGAGTGAGTGGTGAGTGGCTGAGCGAGTGAGTGAGCGGTGAGTGAGCGGTCAGTGAGTGAGCGAGTGGGCGAGTGATTGAGTGGTGAGCGAGCGGTGAGTGGCTGAGCGAGTGAGTGAGCGGTGAGTGGCTGAGCGAGTGGTGAGTGATTGAGAGGTGAGTGAGTGGTGAGTGGCTGAGCGAGTGGGTGAGTGATTGAGTGGTGAGTGATTTGAGTGGTGAGCGAGTGAGTGAGCGAGTGAGCGAGTGAGCGGCGAGTGAGTGAGTGGCTGAGCGAGTGGGTGAGTGAGTGAGTGGGTGAGTAATTGAGTGGTGAGCGAGTGAGTGAGCGAGTGAGCGGCGAGTGAGTGAGTGGCTGAGCGAGTGGGTGAGTGGTGAGTGGGTGAGCGAGTGAGTGAGCGAGTGAGCGGCGAGTGAGTGAGTGGCTGAGCGAGTGAGAGAGCGGTGAGTGGCTGAGCGAATGAGTGAGAGGTGAGTGGGTGAGTGAGTGGTGAGTGGCTGAGCGAGTGGGTGAGTGATTGAGTGGTGAGTGATTTGAGTGGTGAGTGGCTGAGTGAGTGGGTGAGTGATTGAGTGGTGAGCGAGTGAGTGAGCGAGTGAGCGAGCGAGTGAGTGAGTGGCTGAGCGAGTGGGTGAGTGATTGAGTGGTGAGCGAGTGAGTGAGCGAGTGAGCGAGCGAGTGAGTGAGCGGCGAGTGAGTGAGTGGCTGAGCGAGTGGGTGAGTGATTGAGCGGTGAGCGAGTGAGTGAGCGAGTGAGCGAGCGAGTGAGTGGCTGAGCGAGTGGGTGAGTGATTGAGTGGTGAGTGATTGAGTGGGTGAGTGAGCGAGTGAGTGAGCGAGCAAGTGAGCGGTGAGTGAGTGAGTGAGCGGCGAGTGAGTGAGTGGCTGAGCGAGTGGGTGAGTGATTGAGTGGTGAGCGAGTGAGCGAGCGAGTGAGCGAGTGAGTGAGCGGTAAGTGCTTGAGCGAGTGGGTGAGTGATTGAGTGGTGAGTGGCTGAGTGATTGAGTGAGCGGGTGAGCGAGTGAGTGAGTGGCTGAGCGAGTGGGTGAGTGATTGAGTGGTGAGCGAGTGAGCGAGCGAGTGAGCGAGTGAGTGAGCGGTAAGTGCTTGAGCGAGTGGGTGAGTGATTGAGTGGTGAGTGGCTGAGTGATTGAGTGAGCGGGTGAGCGAGTGAGTGAGTGGCTGAGCGAGTGGGTGAGTGATTGAGTGGTGAGCGAGTGAGCGAGCGAGTGAGTGAGCGGTAAGTGCTTGAGCGAGTGGGTGAGTGATTGAGTGGTGAGTGGCTGAGTGATTGAGTGAGCGGGTGAGCGAGTGAGTGAGCGGCGAGTGAGTGAGTGGCTGAGCGAGTGGGTGAGTGGGTGAGTGATTGAGTGGTGAGCGAGCGGTGAGCGGGCGCTCACCCTCCAGTCTCGCTCTGCGGCGTCGTCTTGCTGATGACGATCGACTTCCCGAGCCGAGACTCGAGGTCGACTTTGTAGTCTCTGTGACGCAGCAGCTCCCTCTTCACAGCCACCACCGGCTTCGCTGCACAGCACACACGCAGCACAGTATATATAGACACACACACAGTACACACACACAGTACACACACACAGTACACACACACAGTACACACACACAGTACACACACACAGACTTTGTAGTCTCGGTGACGCAGCAGCTCCCTCTTCACAGCCACCACCGGCTTCGCTGCACGGCACACACGCAGTACACACACACAGTACACACACACAGTACACACACACAGTACACACACACAGTACACACACACAGTACACACACACAATACACACACACAGACTTTGTAGTCTCGGTGACGCAGCAGCTCCCTCTTCACAGCCACCACCGGCTTCGCTGCACGGCACACACGCAGTACACACACACAGTACACACACACAGTACACACACACAGTACACACACACAGTACACACACACAGTACACACACACAGACTTTGTAGTCTCGGTGACGCAGCAGCTCCCTCTTCACAGCCACCACCGGCTTCGCTGCACGGCACACACGCAGTACACACACACAGTACACACACACAGTACACACACACAGTACACACACACAGTACACACACACAGTACACACACACACAGTACACACACACAGACTTTGTAGTCTCTGTGACGCAGCAGCTCCCTCTTCACAGCCACCACCGGCTTCGCTGCACAGCACACACACAGTACACACACACAGTACACACATACAGCACACACACACAGTACACACACACAGACTTTGTAGTCTCGGTGATGCAGCAGCTCCCTCTTCACAGCCACCACCGGCTTCGCTGCACAGTACACAAGCAGCACGCGCAGCACACGCAGCACAGTATATATAGACACACACACACAGTACATACAGTACACACACAGTACACACAGCACACGCAGCACATGCAGCACAGTATATATAGACACACACACAGTACATACAGTACACACACAGTACACACAGCACATATAGACACACACAGTACACACAGCACAGTATATATAGAGACACACACACAGTACATACAGTACACACACAGTACACACAGCACATATAGACACACACAGTACACACAGCACAGTATATATAGACACACACACACAGTACATACAGTACACACACAGTACACACAGCACATATAGACACACACAGTACACACAGCACAGTATATATAGACACACACACAGTACATACAGTACACACACAGTACACACAGCACACAAGCAGCACACAGTACACACAGCACAGTATATATAGACACACACACAGTGCATACAGTACACACACAGTACACACAGCACATAGACACACACAGTACACACAGCACAGTATATATAGACACACACAGTACATACAGTACACACACAGTACACACAGCACATATAGACACACACAGTACACACAGCACAGTATATATAGACACACACAGTACACACACAGTACACACACAGCACACACAGCACAGTATATATAGACACACACACAGTACACACAGCACAGTACACACAGCACGGCACAGCAAATATAGACACACACACAGTACACACAGCACAGTATATATAGACACACACACAGTACACACACAATACACACAGCACAGTACACACAGCACGGCACAGCAAATATAGACACACACACAGTACACACACAGCACAGTACACACAGTACACACAGTACACACACACAGTACACACACAGCACAGTACACACAGTACACACACAGTACACACACAGCACAGTACACACAGTACACACAGTACACATACACAGTACACACACAGCACAGTACACACAGTACACACACACAGCACAGTACACACAGTACACACACACAGTACACACACAGCACAGTACACACACACAGTACACACACAGCACAGTACACACAGTACACACAGCAAATATAGACACACACACAGTACACACACAGCACAGTACACACAGTACACACACACAGTACACACACAGCACAGTACACACACACAGTACACACACAGCACAGTACACACAGTACACACAGCAAATATAGACACACACACAGTACAAAGTACACACTAAGTAGACACACACACACTACACTACTACACACAGTACACACACACAGTACACACACACAGTACACACACACAGTACACACACAGTACACACACCGTACACACACACGCAGTACACACACACACAGTACACACACAGTACACACACCGTACACACACACGCAGTACACACAGCACACAGTACACACACAGCACACAGTACACACACAGAACACACACAGTACACACACAGTACACACACAGTACACACAGCAAATATAGACACAAACAGTACACACACACAGTACACATACACAGCACACACACAGTACACATACACAGTACACACACAGTACACACACAGTACACACACACAGTACACACAGCAAATATAGACACACACACAGTACACACAGCACAAGCAGCACACGCAGCACAGTATATATAGACACACAGCACACACACTACACACACACACTACACACACACACTACACACACACAGTACACACACACAGCACACACACAGTAAACACTACACCCACACACTACACCCACACAGTACACACACACACAGTACACACACACAGCACACACACAGTACACACACACAGTACACAGTACACACACACTACACCCACACACTACACCCACACACTACACCCACACTACACACACACACACTACACACACTACACACACACAGTACACAGTACACACACACAGTACACACACACAGTATACACATACAGTACACACAAACACAGTATACACACACAGTATACACACACACAGTATACACACACACTACACACACACTACACAGTACACACACTACACACTGTACCTGTTCTCTTGTCCCTCTCCTCATCGAGGCGTCTCTGAGCCAACTTCTCGTATTCACTGCGGTCCCATTTCCTCCTGAAGTCCATGTCTGCCGCCTGCACACACACACACAGAGACACAGACAAAGGTCCCCCGTGTAGCCTTAGCAGACTGTAGGGGCAAGTGCTGTTAGCGAGTAGCAGCACCTATGAAGGCTACCGGCACTGTGGCACACACAGAGGGGGTGGGTGGCCAGCACCACGCCCGGCCGCCTTTGTCTCCCCAGTGGCGATGTTTACACACCGCACCAGGTACTCATTTGAGGCCGAGTCGACCTAGAGGAGGCCCGGGACCGGTTCAGATAATCGTCACTGGTGTTGGCCGTGAGCGGGAATCGAACTCGTGTCGCCGGGTTCGTAACGCAGCGTAGCGCTAACCGCTACACCCACCGCTCCCACTACACACACAGAGACACAAACAAAGATCCCCCGTGTAGCCTTAATAGTCAACATCTCTCAGTGTCTGTGATTGAACCCACGACCTCCTGCGTACCAGGCGAGGTAGTCAACATCTCTCAGTGTCTGTGATTGAACCCACGACCTCCTGCGTACCAGGCGAGGTAGTCAACATCTCTCAGTGTCTGGGATTGAACCCACGACCTCCTGCGTACCAGGCGAGGTAGTCAACATCTCTCAGTGTGTGGGATTGAACCCACGACCTCCTGCGTACCAGGCGAGGTAGTCAACATCTCTCAGGGTCTGGGATTGAACCCACGACCTCCTGTGCACCAGGCGAGGTAGTCAACATCTCATAGCCAACCTTGACTTTCCTCGTCAAAACAAACCAGGACATCAATGACACGAACAATTCTCGTCGTCAGTTAATGGGGACATCGTTGGAGTTAACTTATGACAATGTATAACAGTTATACACCAAAATCTACACGTCCACCGGGGGACACCTCCGGTCTGGCCTGGCTCTCCCCCGCGGGAAGCCTGCGCTAGGCCGCCCGCCGCTCGTCCATCCGAGGCCGCCGCGGTCTCGGCGTCGAGGCCTTGGTCAATGAAATCTCGCGTAAGAGGCGGGGGTCGACGCTACACGCGAGCGACTGCGCTCGCTTCGAGCGATCGAACGTTTAACGCGATGCCAACGAAGTAAAACGACCGCCGAAATTATTTTAAAAAAGATATAAAATAAAAAAATCGTCACCTCCTTCGAACTCCCGCCGCCGGACGCCATTTTCACGCGTTGAGCAAGAATCGATTCCACGGTGAGTTCGTTTTCGATTCCACGGCCGAGTTTATCGACTCCGTAAGGCGTTGACGTTTAAACAACAAAAGGAATCGATTCCTTCGATTCGATTCGATAGCTACGGTTTACACCGGCGCGCGCGCGTTCGTACGAGGAACCCCGCCCGCCCCCATTGAGGCGACAACCGATTCCGAATCGTAAATTTTGTACCATTGTTTTTATCGGGAATCGATTCGGATAAATGTCACTTTCAACTGAGCTGACCTAGACGAAGTCCAAACCGAACTTAAAAAAAAATGAAAAAAAATGTTTTTTTGGCTTTGCCGGTATCAAACGTGTGAATTAGACGAGAGTAGGAGGAGCTTTTGCCCTCTCTGGCCGTGATAAAACTGCAGGGGTGTTCAGTTGTGCAAAAAAAAACACAAACAATTAGATTGGATTACTTCTTTGCAAGAGATTTTGAAGTTAAAACTTTCGTGACCGCAGGAAGTAAAATTCTTGGTTCGTTCGGTAAAGTCACGTAGGTAGAAAATTTAAATTAAAAAATTATATTGTTTTTATTTTATTTATTTTACACGCTTTTTAAATCCTTTATATTAAGTTCGCTTGCTTGCTTGCGTGCTTGCTTGCTTAGGACCGTGCAAATCTTTCGGTCGTTTTTTAACCCACTTCCCGTGATCCAATCGAGCTGACATTTTGCACACAGACTCGTTGTGCGAGACAATTAATGTTCGTGAAAAAATTTTCCCAAATTTTACACTGTTTAGAGAATTTTTTTTTATATTTAATTAGCAATTGCTTAATGGTGGCAGACAATCATCTGACCCATAGGTGGCAGCCATCTCAAGCCAGAGGACGAGAGGACTCTAGCCGCCCCGATACCACGCATATAAAGGATTTATAGAGAAAAACTTTGTTTTTACGGGTTATACTTATTAAATCCTTTATATTAAGTTCGCTTGCTTGCTTAGGACCGTGCAAATCTTTCGGTCGTTTTTTAACCCACTTCCCGTGATCCAATCGAGCTGACATTTTGCACACAGACTCGTTGTGCGTGACAATTAATTTCGTGAAATTTTTTTCCAAAATTTTACACTTTTTAGGACAAAAATATTATATTTAATTGCCAATTGCTTAATACTGGCAGACAATCATCTGACCCATAGGTGGCAGCCATCTCAAGCCAGAGGACGAGAGGACTCTAGCCGCCACGCATATAAAGGATTTAGAGTGAAAAACTTTGTTTTTACGGGTTATACTTGTTATTTAACTCACTTGGTCTGTTGTATCTTCAAAAAATAAATATTGTAACTCAATTTTTACCCACTTCCCAATGTGCCATCGACTGCAAACTTCGTACGGCTGTGTCATACTGATGACAACACGATATTCTATCATAAAAAATCCAAAACATTTATTTTAAAACATTTTACACGCTTTTATTTAACATACTGTATGCTAATAATTGTTTTTTTACCCTTTTATCTGGCAACAAAACTGACACCTTTTTTACAAGGAGTCATGTTTGCATAGACCACAATACCTGCAGTCATAATGCAAACAAAACACACAACTCTGATAATGTATGTGCACTGTCCTTGAAGTTGATTGGTCCACACCCGAGACAGCTTTCCTTAGAGACTAGTCTCACATGGTGTTGGACCAGATGACGCCAAAAGGCGCACAACTCAAAGACAATGCACCATCATAGTATGAGAGCTCGGGGTGAAGCATTTACACCATTGGAACCTCATTTGCCAGTAAAAAATATGATAATTGGTTTTTTACCCTTTTATCTGGCAACAAAACCGACACCTTTTGTACACGGAGTCATGTTTGCATAGACCACAATACCTGCAGTCATAATGCAAACAAAAAACACAACTCTGATAATGTATGTGCACTGTCCTTGAAGTTGATTGGTCCACACCCGAGACAGCTTTCCTTAGAGCCTAATCTCACATGGTGTTGGACCAGATGACGCCAAAAGGCGCACAACTCAAAGACAATGCACCATCAGAGCATGAATGCTCGGGGAAAGCATTTACACCATTGGAACCTCATTTGCCAGTAGCAAAATATGATAATTGTTTTTTTACCCTTCTATCTGGCAACAAAACTGACACCTTTTGTACAAGGAGTCATGTTTGCATAGATCACAATACCTGCAGTCATAATGCAAACAAAAAACACAACTCTGATAATGTATGTGCACTGTCCATGAAGTTGATTGGTCCACACCCGAGACAGCTTTCCTTAGAGCCTAGTCTCACATGGGTTGGACCAGATGACGCCAAAAGGTGTCAGTTTTGTTGCCAGATAGAAGGGTAAAAAAACAAATATCATATTTTTTTACTGGCAAATGAGGTTCCAATGGTGTAAATTACTGTGTTGTATCCAAAAATCTTGTAACTCAATTTCAACCGTCTTCCCAATGTCGTATCGACTGCTAACTTGCTCTAGGTAATGCTACCCCCTGCCCCTCCCTTTGGTGCTGCTGATCCTGCATAATGCATGGGCATAATATGACATTGAAACCCCCCCCACCCACCTCCTACGCATTTCGCATGAATATGCTAAATTCCTCTTGATATGCACATTCTTTTTGTCAAGGCGCTCTTCTTCCACCTCCAACCCAGCTTATATATATAAGCTCCAAGCTTGGTAGTGTCTCATTCTTCACCTGAAGACGGCTGCTTGCGTTGTAGCCGAAACGTCGTGAGAATTGTTTTATTATGTTTTATTCATCTTCTTGGTTCTTTCGGTAAAGTCACGTAGAAGGGAAGTAATAAAATAATAAAAATAAAACATTATAACATAATAAAACTAAAACATAATAAAATTTCGATTTAAAGCTTTCGTGACTGCAGGGATTCATCTTATTGGTTCTTTCGGTAAAGTCACCACGTAGAATGTAAATAATAAAATAATAAAAATAAAACATTATTTTATTACTTCCCTTCTACGTGACTTTACCGAAAGAACCAAGAAGATATTTCTTTATTAACTGTCGTTGTGTCCTCAAATCTTGCAACTCAATTTTAACCCATTTCTTGGTTCTTTCTGTCAAGTCACGTAGAAGGGAAATAATAAAATAACAAAAATAAAACAAAATAAAAAACAATTCTCACGACGTTTCGGCCACAACGCAAGCAGCCGTCCTCAGGTGAAGAACAGGTCTGTCGGAAAGACAGCGTCTGAATGAGCACCACCAAGCTTGGCAGCGTATATTTAAGTATATATTTAAGTAGATATTTAAGTATATACGCTGCCAAGCTTGGTGGTGTTTCATTCAGACGCTGTCTAACCGACAGACCTGTTCTTCACCTGAGGACGGCTGCTTGCGTTGTGGCCGAAACGTCGTGAGAATTATTTTATTTTATTATGTTTTATTTTTATTATTTTATTACTTCCCTTCTACGTGACTTTACCGAAAGAACCAAGAAGATGAATCCCTGCAGTCACGAAAACTTTAAATCTAAATTTAATTACGTTTAATTTTTATTATTTTATTATGTTTTATTTTTTATATTTTATTTTTAATAAAAAAACATATTATTTTATTATGTTTTATTTTTAATATTTTATTATTTCCCTTATACGTGACTTTACCGAAAGAACTAAGAAGATGAATCCGTGCAGTCACGAAAGAAGCTTTAAATCGAAATTTAACCCACTTCCCAATGTGTTACCGACTGCAAACTTGGTATACTTATGTCATATTGATGACAAAACTATATTCTATCATGAAAAAGATAAAACATATTTTTTTACATTATTTTGTATATGTTATGTTTCGTCTTGGGTCTAATTGTCCACGCTCAACTGACGTTGGCTGCAATTGGCCAGTCCCCTTACGTTATGGAAATCTTCGGTGCCACTTACTGGAGCCATAGAGTTCTGCCAATACTAGAAGGGTACATGTCATTAAAGCGTGTGGGTCTCTAGCCTAGGGGCACCCCCAGGGGCAGCTGTCTCTGTGCGTCAGTCTGCTGGCAGTAGGAGGGTGATGTTACTTCTGATGCTGTGTGGGTCTAGAGCCTAGGGGCTCCCCCAGGGGCAGCTGTCTCTGTGCGTCAGTCTGCTGCCAGTAGGAGGGTTGATGGTCACTGCTTTGTGGTGCTGTAGCCGAGGGTCACAACCGTGTGTCTGCGTGTCCGCGTCTGCGTGTCTGTGTCTTTGTGTTTGCGTGTCCGCGTGTCTTTGTGTCTTTGTGTCTGCGTGTCTGCGTGTCTGCGTGTGTCTGCGTGTCTGCGTGTCCGCGTGTGTCTGCGTGTGTCTGCGTGTGTCTACGTGTGTCTGCGTGTGTCTGTGTTTCTGCGTGTGTCTGCGTGTCTTTGTCTGCGTGTGTCTGCGTGCGTCTGCGTGTGTCTGCGTGTCTCCGCGTGTGTCCGCGTGTGTCTGCGTGTCTGTGTGTCTACGTGTGTCTGTGTGTCTGCGTGTGTCTGCGTGTGTCTGCTTGTGTCTGCGTGTCTCTGCGTGTGTCTGCGTGTCTGCGTGTCTGTGTGTCTGCGTGTGTCTGTGTGTGTCTGCGTGTCTGCGTGTGTCTACGTGTGTCTGTGTGTCTGCGTGTGTCTGTGTGTCTGCGTGTGTCTGCGTGTGTCTGCGTGTGTCTGTGTGTCTGCGTGTGTCTGTGTGTCTGCGTGTGTCTGCGTGTGTCTGCGTGTGTCTGTGTGTCTGCGTGTCTACGTGTGTCTGCGTGTGTCTGCGTGTGTCTGCGTGTGTCTGCGTGTCTGCGTGTGTCTACGTGTGTCTGCCTGTGTCTGCTTGTGTCTGCGTGTCTCTGCGTGTGTCTGTGTGTCTGCGTGTGTCTGCGTGTGTCCACGTGTCTGCGTCTGTCCACGTGTCTGCGTGTGTCCGCGTGTGTCTGCGTGTGTCCACGTGTCTGCGTGTGTCCGCGTGTGTCCGCGTGTGTCCACGTGTCTGCGTGTGTCTGTGTGTGTCCACGTGTCTGCGTGTGTCTGTGTGTGTCCACGTGTCTGCGTGTGTCTGCGTGTGTCCACGTGTCTGCGTGTGTCTGCATGTGTCTGTGTGTGTCCACGTGTCTGCGTGTGTCTGCGTGTGTCTGTGTGTGTCCACGTGTCTGCGTGTGTCTGCGTGTGTCTGTGTGTGTCCACGTGTCTGCGTGTGTCTGCGTGTGTCTGCGTGTGTCCACGTGTCTGCGTGTGTCCGCGTGTGTCTGCGTGTGTCCACGTGTCTGCGTGTGTCTGCGTGTGTCCGCGTGTGTCTGCGTGTGTCCACGTGTCTGCGTGTGTCCGCGTGTGTCTGCGTGTGTCCACGTGTCTGCGTGTGTCCGCGTGTGTCTGCGTGTGTCCACGTGTCTGCATGTGTCCACGTGTCCGTGTGTCTGCGTGTGTCCACGTGTCCGTGTGTCCACGTGTCCGTGTGTCTGCGTGTGTCCACGTGTCTGCGTGTGTCCACGTGTCTGCGTGTGTCCACGTGTCCGCGTGTCTGTGTGTCTGCGTGTGTCCGCGCGTGTCCGCGCGTGTCTGCGTGTGTCTGCGCGGTGGTGTTGGGGTTGGGGGGGGTCGGCACGGCGCTGCGAGTTCAGAGCAGAAGACAGCGGAGACTTTAATGAAATTCAGCGCCGCTCAGGACGACAACGACGACGACGACAACGACGATGACGACGACGCAGCTCCAACGGCAACCGCCGCCACGGCAACCGCCACCACGGCAACGGCCACCACGGCAAACACCACCTCGCAACCGCCGCCGCCACGGCAACCGCCGCCGCCACGGCAACCGGCACCACGGCAACCGCCGCCGCCACGGCAACCGGCACCACGGCAACCGCCCGCCACGGCAACCACCGCCACGGCAACCGCCCGCCACGGCAACCACCGCCACGGCAACCGCCACCACGGCAAACACCACCTCGCAACCGCCGCCGCCACGGCAACCGGCACCACGGCAACCGCCCGCCACGGCAACCGCCGCCACGGCAACCGCCACCACGGCAAACACCACCTCGCAACCGCCGCCGCCACGGCAACCGCCGCCGCCACGGCAACCGGCACCACGGCAACCGCCCGCCACGGCAACCACCGCCACGGCAACCGCCGCCACGGCAACCACCGCCACGGCAACCGCCGCCGCCACGGCAACCACCGCCACGGCAACCGCCGCCGCCACGGCAACCGCCCCCCGCCAGCGTCGGCAATGACCACCGGCCTCGATGGCGGCCATTGGGAATGAAGTCCTGGGGGTGTCGCCGCCAGCGTCGTCATCTTCGTCGTTTTTGTCGTCACTCGGCGATAACGAAGAGGAGGGGGGGGAGGGGAGGGGGGCCACGGGGTGGGGTGGTGGAGGGACTTACTAAAAAAAAAGGCCACCCTCCCCCCCACCTCCCCCGATCCCCTCTCGTCTCCCGCACAAAATAATAATTGTGAATCGTGATTAATATCGTAACGGGGGCGGAGGGGGGGGAGAGTTAGATCGCGCGGTATTTACACGTATGTATAACGTCCCTTAAAAAACACACTCCGTGTCTCTCTCACTCACTCGCTCGCTCACTCACACGCTCACACTCGCTCACACACTCGCTCACACTCGCTCACACACTCGCTCACACGCTCGCTCACACACTCGCTCACACTCGCTCACACGCTCGCTCACACACTCGCTCACACGCTCGCTCACACACTCGCTCACACTCGTTCACACTCGCTCACACTCGCACTCGCTCACACTCATACTGTCACTCGCTCACACTCTCACACTCTCACACTCACACTCGCTCTCTCACTCACTCTCTCTCAGACTCGCTCACACTCGCTCGCTCACTCACACGCTCGCTCACACACTCGCTCACACACTCGCTCACACTCATACTGTCACTCTCTCACTCGCTCACACACTCAGACTCGCTCACACTCGCTCACACACTCGCTCACACTCGTTCACACTCTCACTCGCTCACACTCGTTCACACTCTCACTCGCTCACACTCGCACTCGCTCACACTCATACTGTCACTCGCTCACACTCTCACACTCTCACACTCACACTCGCTCTCTCACTCACTCTCTCTCAGACTCGCTCACACTCGCTCGCTCACTCACACGCTCGCTCACACACTCGCTCACACTCGCTCACACTCATACTGTCACTCTCTCACTCGCTCACACACTCAGACTCGCTCACACTCGCTCACACACTCGCTCACACTCGCAGACTCGCTCACACTCGTTCACACTCTCACTCGCTCACACTCGTTCACACTCTCACTCGCTCACACTCGCACTCGCTCACACTCATACTGTCACTCGCTCACACTCTCACACTCTCACACTCACACTCGCTCTCTCACTCACTCTCTCTCAGACTCGCTCACACTCGCTCGCTCACTCACACGCTCGCTCACACACTCGCTCACACTCGCTCACACTCATACTGTCACTCTCTCACTCGCTCACACACTCAGACTCGCTCACACTCGCTCACACACTCGCTCACACACTCGCTCACACTCGCAGACTCGCTCACACTCGTTCACACTCGCTCACACTCATACTGTCACTCTCTCACTCGCTCACACTCTCACACTCACACTCGCTCTCTCACTCACTCTCTCTCAGACTCACTCACACTCGCTCGCTCACTCACACGCTCGCTCACACACTCGCTCACACACTCGCTCACACTCGTTCACAC